CCGTGTTTAAATAAAATTTTACAATACAAATTACTCTCCTTCTGTGAGAAAAATATAACCCTTGGATGACTTGTTTCGTTATATTTTAGGGTAATCTCGAGGCAAGCGAGTCCGTTTACAGGTGTGTATAATATATTACAAACTATATAGAGGACACTCAGAGACGGCTAAAAACGCACAGGTTGTTCCAAGTTGATATCGACAGGAGTGAACAATGTTGTGCGGCCAACTATGAACAAGTTGTCAACCATGTTGTTCCTAGTTGTTACAGTTGAACAATGCTGTAACAACATGTTGACAATACTGTTCATAGTGGGCCGCACAACCTTGTTTACGCCTGTTGATATCAACCTGGAACAAGTTGTTGATTTTCTCAATTTTTACCCGTGTACCTCACCAGCGAGTATGATGCATAAATTGTACTGTGGGCTAATTGCAGATTTTATGCTGCCTCGTACCCAGGCGCTTTAAATAATTATAATACATGAAGTATTCAGGCAGGCAGGCAGGCGGGCAGGCAGGCGACGCGCGAAGGGGCCCTTCGCCCTTTTCTCGCCACTACAATACTTCATGTAAACTCGTCACATGCGCATCGCTGTTTTTTTTACAAAGAGACGCCTGGATACGAGGCAGGATTACATGCATGACAGTCCGTTTTCTCTCGTCCAATTTTCATTAAAATAAAATTTTAAATCGATTTGTCCTTGACCTGTTGCCATTAGCCCTACAAATTTTCCTATTTTAAAATATAATTTTTTTAAAAGACAAGCACACACAAACAAACACACAGACATGCCCATGCAGGTGTCAATATACTGTAACCTCCTAGGATGAGCATTTTTAAACTTATAGAACTATATGCACTCTAAATCATGCAAAGTTCTTTCAATATTTTACTTTAGTTGGTTACTTATAATAATAGTAAATTGGTAAATTTATTTTTTAGAGAGGTATTAATGGCATTGAAAGAAAAACATGACGCCAAAGATCCAATGATTGCAACAGCTTTGCATAATCTGGCCGTGGTTAATTCGGATCAGGTATATTATAACACTGTCAAGATTTCTGGGCATCAGAGGCGCCGGAATATCGATAATTGGGGGGGGGGGGC